ACTCAAGTCTTATCGCTTAGCTCAGCATAGTTCCTTCTGGTGTTCGCAATTGGATTCCAATCCCTGCCCCCATTTGATTCGAGGAGCTGTCCACGAAGAGCTTCCACAAGGAACAATTATAATCCTCCACCAAATCTTCAACATCACATTCAAGTAGGAAATCCGCCACCGCTTGACCTTTGATTGCCGTCCTGGGCCCACTTGGTCATTCTCCCCGATAGGTCCGGTTTGTGGAGGATCATTCTCAAAGGGAAAGTTGTTAAAACGACGATCGGATGAGATTCAAAATAATGTCTAAGCTTCCTTTTTGCATTGACCAGCGACAAGATCATTCATTCGGCCCTGGAGTACCTTCTTTCCTGCTCAGACATTGTTTTGCTAACATAAAACACCGGAAACTGCTTTCCTTCTTTGCAACGGATCAGAACGGCATTAGTCGCTATACTAGATACCCCAAGATACAGAAAGAGCTTTTCATTCGGCTCGAGAGCAGACAGAACCGGAGGATTACCCATGTATTCCTTCAGGCTGGTTAGCGCCTGTCGTTGCTCATCCCCCCAGGTTTGCCTTCTGTGCTCTCGAATTGTATCAAAGAAAGGTTTACAGCGGTCCGAAAGCTTGGAAATAAATCGGCTCAGTGCAGCTATCCGACCTGTGAGTGCTTGCACCTCTATAATTGTCTTTGGCTCTGCATTTCTGATCAGGGCTTCTGCCTGCGCTGGGCTGGCCTCAATTCCTCTATGATTGACCACATGTCCCAGAAATTGACCGAAGCTTACGCCGAATGAGCATTTGGCCGGATTAAGCTTCATCCCATACTGGCGCAACACATCGAACACATCTTGCAGGTGCGCTAAATGATTGCTCTTCTTCTTACTCTTGACCACCATATCATCAATATAAGCCTCGACAGTGCTTCCCATTTGGCCCTTAAAAATCTTGCTGATCAGCCTCTGATAAGTAGCTCCAGTGTTTTTTAATCCGAACGGCATGACTTTGGAGCAATAAGTCCCTCGTTCAGTAACAAACAAAGTTTTCTCTTCGTCAACTGGATCCATGGGAATTTGATTATAACCGGAATAAGCATCCAGGAAGGTTAACCGCTCATATCCTGTGGTGGCATCTACCATTTGATCAATCATTGGCAATGGGAAACTATCCTTTGGGCAAGCTTTATTCAGATTAGTGAAGTCAATACACACTCTCCGCTTCCCATTCTTCTTCTGCACTACAACAACATTGGAGATCCAGGGCAGGTACTGAACTTCTCTGATGAATCCGGCTTCAAGTAGCCGATCAACCTCCTCAGCTATAATCTGATTTCGTTCTGGAGTAAATCTTCTCTGCTTCTGCTTCACTGGCTTTACATTCGGATCTACATTGAGGGAATGACAGGATACAGTAGGATTTATCCCTGGCATATCTGAATGGCTCCATACGAATACATCTGCATTTCGAGTCAAGAAATCAGTCAACTCTAGTTTTTCTTCTTCAGTAAGTCTGGTTCCCACCCTTGTTGTTCGGTCCGGTTTCTCATGGTCAATCTTCACTTCATGAAGGGGTTCTGTGGTCAGAACTGGTGGCTTCTCCTCCCTATCCTTGCTGGGAAGAGGGTTCTATAATTGCTATTTTGGACTGGCAGAACGGATGGGATTTTTTCCTTTTCCAGCAGATTTCAAAGTTACTGAATAACATTCTTTAGCTACAACCTGGTCCCTGTGTATGTCTATCACCTTGGTCCCATCTGGACCCAAACCTCGCATCACTTGATGCAAGGTTGACGGGACGCCCTGAACTCTGTGAATCCATCCTCTGCCCATCAAGAGGTTGTAGGATGGATGAATTTCTACGACCACAAAACTTTCAGTCAAAACTCGCTCAGCAGCTTGTACTGTCAATTCCACCATTCCAATGGGTTCCACTCGCTTCCCATCAAATCCGAGCAACGGATTTCCTGTGGGTTTGAGTTTTTCGGGTTCGATCTCCAGTCGGTCGAACGTTACCCTGGGCATGACATTCACACTACTTCCTGGATCAATCAGAACTCTTTGAACCAGGCATTATGCAACTGTCAGACTGACGACTAATGGATCTTCATGAGAAATCTAAACGCGTAGCAGGTCCGTTTTATCAAACTTTATCGATGTGGACGCGTTCTGCTAGTGCAAAGCATGCATACTGCCAATCCTTCTTTTCAACTGGGTCTGGCGTAACCTCATTCTGAGCAACTCTTCTGACTCCGTCATTTGTTTAGGCCGGCCATGAATTGCATTTATAATCCGGACAGGCTGAGAGTTGTGTTGGTTCGACCTCTGGTTCCGCTTGATCTGCTCAGTCGGGCAGTTCTGCTCTTGCGCCGGACCTTGAACATAGCTTGCAAATTCCCCCTTTGCAATTAGCATCTCTACCTGCCTCCTTAGGTTCCTGCATTTGTTAGTCTGATGTCCAAAATCACTATGGAAAGCACAATGTTTAGTTTGATCCCTCTGTTCAAGAGGTTACCTGATTGGCAGAGGAGAACGAAACTTATCTTTGTTCTCTTAGTATAGCCTTGCTAAAGTGACTCTGAGTGGAGTGACTGATTCCTCCTCCCTGGGCCTTTTCTCCGCCTTCCATGAGGGGTGACGTTGCGGCTGAGCTTGCTTTTGCCGGATCTTGGCTTTGGACTTCTCTTCCGTCGAAATAATTGACGTCTTCCTCAAATTAGCTGCCTCTTCCTCCTCAAGACGGACAAAACCGTTAGCTCTCTCGTTCAGCTCGTCCATGGTCTTTGGCGTATTAACCACCAAGCTGGTGTGGAACGGCATCCCCCAGTTTATTGCGAGTTTAAATGCTTGGATTGCTGTGGACGGATGGCACTCCATTACCATGCTTTTAACGAGGTTGAACCGGGTGAGAAAAGCTTAGAGCTGTTCATCCTAATGCTACTTCATTGTGAAAAGGCTTGATACATCCTTAGCAGGACGTTTATTCCCACAGTACTGGCTTATGAACTTATCGCATAAGTGCTGGAAACTGGCGATTGAGCCCTGAGCTAGATTCTTGAACCAATTGAGCTGGTCCAACCAAGCTCGTAGGGAAGCATTTGCACATTAAAGGATCATTATTAGTATTCAAAGTCATTTTCAACTGAATATGGTAGATGTGATCGACCGGATCGGTTGTTCCGTCAAACAGAATGAAAACCAGCATGGAGAACTTCTTCGGATTCGGCTCGTTCAGAATTTCATCAGTGAACGGAGATGCAACCGTCCTTGCTGATGAGCGCAATGCTTCGTTTTCCCTTGAAAACCGTGACGGAAACCCCCGATCGGCAGATCTCCTTTCTGAACTGTGGTAATCAACTGTTGCTAATGAAGGTCGATAAGGCGAATCGAACGACCTATCCTCCGCAAACTCACTCCGCCACGGTGACGCAACCCTATGTTCATATGCCGGTGCTTCCTCCCTCATAATACGTTCGTGATGCGATTCCAGATGAATAGATCCTTCTCGATCCTCTACTCGACGGACATTCGGAGGCAGATCACCGATTATAACTTCATCACGACGTGGATCAACACGATTGACACCTTCTGGATCACCTTGACGATCAGCTTGGGACGGTAAAGCTCCCTCTCCTTCAGGAGGTGGCCTCGGAATTGCAGGAGCCTCACGACGCTCCATTCCAGCTCGTAGCTTTGCATTCTCTTTCCTCAAAGCGTCGATCATGTTCATCAGCTCATCGAGCTTCGTCTACTTGCCGTTCTCCAAAGGATTTGAGTTCACCTCTCCGATCATCATTCCAGATCGAAGCAAAGTCATCAACTGCAGATTTCTTGACCAGATCGGAGTTCTGCTAACACGCGCACACCAGATCTGAACTCACACTTGCTGATTCAGTCCATTACTGGCCGGATTCAGTAATCACAACAGATCGCAATTGTGTAGTTCGCAGGATCAAGCACAGATCTAATCTGCTTGGATCGGATGCCAACTTCTCGAAATCAACCGGAGCCTGGACTCATCGAGACAAATTGTATTATCACCAATGTTGATTCAGCTTTCGCAGATTAATCGTCTTCCTTGCATAGTGCTTTGAATCGATTCGATCTGGAACAACATCAATCAATCCTTCCTGTTCTTCCCACAGACGGCGCCAATTGAAAGTACAAAGAATTTCTCCCAATTACAGAGAGAGAATTTCTTCACTCCCAATGCTTTCTAACCTCTTTTCCCTCTCGATTTCCCTTATTTATAGACGGTTATAACCTCCTCTGACCTGGGCCTTATCTGCTCCCTTTTGCCTGGACTTAACTCTTCTCATTTTAATATGGGCTTCTGTAATGACTTTATGGACCTGGACCCATCCCGCGAGAACTTGCTCCATCCTGTTTGTCCATACCCGACCCATCCTTTGCAATACGGATCATACCAAGCCAGTGTCATTTTGGTGTCCTCAACTTTTTTAGTTGAAACCCAATTGAAAGATTTGCTTTTAGAAGTTACAAGGAGGCGGAGAACTGGTATGTTCTTTCTTGCAGAAAAATAGGTAGCATTACTTTCCCAAAAAAAAAATAGGTAGCATTGGAAGAAACTAGTATAACGACATAGATCCATAGTAAATCGTCAAAGTTTCAATTATTCAATGAACAGAAGAATTAAACAAGGATATATAGCTCGGAAATGTAGAACAAAAATCCGTTTATTTGCATCAAAGCTTTCGAGGGGCTCATTCAAGACTTGCTCCAACTATTAGCTTTGGTTTTCGCTAATCGGGGTAGACATAGGCAAAAGAGAAATAAATGACTTGAAGCCATAGATTCACCAGTATTCTAGAGGGAATGCAGGCTTTGACTTGATCAGAGATCTACTGGGATCTAAAATTGAACTTCCAATTTACCTTTCATAATGCTTCTGGCACCTGTGGGTGGGTGTGTGTGTATGTGTGTGTGTGTGAGAGAGAGAGAGAGATTTACTTCAGTAGTCCAAATAAAGAACTGGTACAAAACTTCCCTGAATTAGATACACATAAAGAACTAGATATATTACATCAGTGAAGTTTTACAGTGTCTCAATAAACTAAAATAAATCACAGGATGGATACAACACATCTAAATAAAAGCTAATCATGTTGCTAATATCACAAATGAACTTAACTATCATCACTAACATTATATAACTGACCACATTGTTAGCTTGAGAGGTATCTAATCTACTGCCACTCTCCCCAAGGAGAGAAGGTGCAAAGTTCAAATCCCAGTCGGGACACGAGTTCTTGTGTATTACAACTGTTCAAAGAAAACAACATTAAATGACTGCTCTAACAAAATGCCAGCCCATAATCTTATGTTGCTGGCAAAGCAACATCATGAACACAATATTAACAAGAAGAAATATATGTAGTGAGATGCTACAACTCCTCCACCTGAATCTCAAAACCACAACGACACCGCTTGGTCCTCGTTGAACTCTCTTCGTCAAAAGTCTGATCATCTATCAAAAATATATGCTCATGACCTTCTGCAGGAAACCTTGCTGAAATATCTAGCTTGCTTTCTCGTACATCCTGTTGCTGACAAACAGTAGATTGCCTGCCATCCCCATTAACATCATTTTCTGAACCAACTTTATCCTCCCCTTTCTGAATGCCATCATATATTTGTGATGGCTCACCATCGCCATAAGTGTTGTTCAACCTTTGCCGGGTAACAATCGACGAAAGAAGCTGATACCATCTTGAAATAGCTTGTCTCTCGATTCTCTTCTTTTCTTCAGCCTCTCTTCTCTCTTCTTCTTCTGCATATGCCTAAAGAACAAGTAACCAACAGAATTGAGATTCAGCAACTTCTCAATTCAATAATATATCAGTAAGTATATATCATTGAATGGTGAAAGGATAGGTCGAGGAATACGTATAGTGGTTGCAAGATTCACAATATGAAAAATAACTGGGGCATCATTACTAGCTGAACAGATAAAAAAGCATAAAACATGCTTTGGATTCGGCAATTGAAAGGGAAAAATTAAGGACAACACCGAAATGGTGTTCATCCGATAAATTGAGACTTGTCAAAGTTCACATGAACACCAGTTCAACCACAAATTTGAGCTTCATAGCATAATATACCTCTAAAATAGAATCCTTGAACTCAGCACACACCACAATGCCATCATATACAGGTACAGAACGACCATTTCTGAACTCAAATCCAACCATAGCAGGCGCATAATCAATTTCCAGCCTCTTTGCAACAGCAAACACCCTGGGAAACCTCAAGTGCACAGTTCCTGGTGGGAGGGACTTCTCAGACCATACATCCACTTGGCCTCGTTCATTCTGGAAGAAAAATTCATAGCTCATTAGTTGCGATCTATAATAAAAAAACATAAGAACTAAAGAACATCCAAATTCAGGATCTATTCAACCCTATTGATCAGTAAATGAAAAGGTACTAGCATCAAGGAAACAAGAGTATATCCACTCAGACAGTATGTGTAGATCAAAAGTTCACAATAATAGATCAACACTTGCTAGAAATGTTTTCCAGTGAGGGGTTTGAGTAGGATTTCAGGCCAAAAACAGATTTGGCTAGTTTTAAAAAACCTCTAATTAGGATAAGAGATGAAAATTCTTAAATCCACTTGGGGATTTGAAGGGGAAATTAGAAGCCCCAAATAAACAAAAGATTAGATCTAGTAAAAAACAATTGTTATTTTCAAATCCTTAAAAGGATAGAATTAAAAGCTCAGGTGATGTCGAACTCTCCCAATGAATTGAAAGCATCTCCATAGGCTTGGAAAATACTCCCCCCTCCCAATTATCTTCCTTTCTTTTATTTTTTCCCCCAATGAATTAAAGAATTAGATTTTATTGGTTTGGTTAAATTATTAAAATAACTACTTTAACAAAAATATATAGGTTTTAATTAAATTAGAAGCTTTAGTTAATGGTTCTCAAGTATTGATCAGATCCCCAACAATTAGATCTAGGTTTCATTTGGGATTTAGCATGGATGGTAAATTTTAATTAGAATGGATTTATTATAAAATATATAAATAAACTCATGCTTGATCATGGATGATAAATGGCAAATTTTAGTTTTGATGATGGAGCATTAAAGACAAATCTCTAAAGTTCAAAGTATTATCCAGAAAATTTGCGAACTTGGTAATTTTAAACCCCTTCATTTTAAATTTCAGTCACATATATATTTTTTCATCCAAATGTACCCTAGGTTGCACATGATCTAATCTTTCCACGTAAACTACATCTGTTGGAAATAAAAGAATTTCACCTTTGGAACAATCCCATTTACGGCACGAGGCAGATACAAAGGTTCTGTTTGCCATTTCCCATATAGAGTAATAGTTCCTTGACAACCTTCTTCACCTGAATCATCAGCTTCCAATACTCGTGCTTTGCTGGACTTTAAAGAACGTTTCAATTCCTGAACAAAAGAAAGCAACTTGATGTAGATCTACAATGAAATATTCAACTATCTACATGACTTGTGCACATATTACCACACAACTTTCATTACAAAAGCCAGATCAGACCTTTGCTGGAAGTTCGTTGGCTTTGACTTGCAACCCCTCACGCAGCCATCTTTCCTTTGTATGGAGTGTTTGGACACAAGTTCGTGGATAAACTGGATGACCAGAACAAAAACCCAAAATGGGCCCCTTTGGGTAAAGTATCTCATACTTGGTAAGCCATCTTTCAATAGCATATAAATGATGGTTCTTATAGGCCTGCACATAACTGAGTTCTGTAAAGAAAAACAATTGTAGAATAACGAACAATTTTAAGATCCACATTAATCCAACCATAAATCCACCACACCTGTTGATTAGTTGGAAGAGGCTCAGTTAATGCCCTAGTTTCCAATTCCATATCCTCGAGAGAGGTTCTTGTAGCTACAAAAGAACTCCTCACAGAAGAATCTGCATCCATTTCCTTACCATGGTGCTTGGGCACTTCCACAGTTAACTTCCCCTGTGAGGTGACAATGTCTGGTAAACGACAATCTTGTGCTGGATTGTCAGAGCTTCCGGGTACTTCTACTTTCTTGTGTCCATTTGAATGATCTTGTTCCAAATGGACCACACCTCCAGTTGCTCCCGACTCCAAGTCCTTTAATGGCGCTAATACCGCATCCCACCAGATTGAATTAATTCGATGTGATGCTATCTTGTACCACTTCATACAATACCTGAAATATAAATGTATTGGTGACTTATGGGTACTGAGATAAACACAAAGGGGAAAACTAGTTCACCAACCCTCTGGGCAATTCACAGTATTTGGAATTGCTAATAGTAATTTTTTGTTGGGACACAAATTAAGTGGGTAACATAATAATAATAGTCTTCTCAGCGAATTAAAAGTGCTTGCAACGAATTCTCTCAAAACAGGGAGGCCAAAAAATTATATATATAACCTTGACTATGCATCTTGACCTTTGAAACTGTAGAATATTACTCAATCCCACAAAAAGTGTCCCTTTTCGGGAACCTAACTTTTTAAGAGGGTAGTTTTTAATTTTATTTAGTTATTTATTTATTTATTATTGTAGTGGTAGGGAATGAATTTCCTAATATACCCTTATATGGTGGGTCCACATGCTTTTATAACTTCAAGGCAGGAGGGAAAAGTAGATATATTAAAAAAAAATAGTACATTGGATTTTGAATTGGGACAATTATTTTGGGAGAGCCAAAAATGGAAAAGTGGACACTTTTTGTGGGACAGAGGGAGTATATTATAAACTGTTAACAATAATATATATTATATAAATACCCACATCACATAGCATTTGTGATTGCATAATTTTTACATGACTATACCCTATCGAATATGGAGTTGTCCATTACTTCAAGTGCATGCGAAAACAAAGTTGCCTAATGGAAGTATAGAGGACACACATGTAGATGTACAAACGTGCATGCAAGTGAGGGGAAATATATAGCATCTTTTGAAAAACATTTAGTAAGAAGAAGAAGAGAGAAAGAGAGAGTATCATGTGTATAGTTGATCTGACATATGTAACTGACTTATTTTAGTAGGGGAAAAAAACTGACTTAATTCAGTAAAAAAGAAAATAGGTTCCTTTTTGGGCATCTAATGACGTTTTAAGCAAACTCATAAACCACTACCAAACCTTTTCCTCATATTCACTATGTAAATTTTTAATATGTCACGTATTTCAACTCAAACCTTATCATGAAATTCTGATTTCATGTCAATCAAAACCAGAGAGATTTATAAATTAAGTATTCCCCACACTATTTAAATGTATTCGATCCAAAGAGCAAGTTGTAGGTTGAAGCGTTATTTTCATCATTTCAGTAAGTTACTCATGAGATAAATGTTTCATGAGCTTAAATCTCAGCTCAGCTCATTTGCAGCCCTATTAAGATATCAAGAGAGTCGAGAGACACTATGAATGTAAGTGGTTTCAAAAGTAAAAGGTTCATTGAGTGATGAGCTTACAAGAAATCTGCAATGCAATGAGTAAACTTATTTAAAACATCACTCTGAGAAGCAGATGGTATTCAAAGAACTCAAAAATATTCTTCAATTAAAAGGAAAATACATGTTTTAATATAAAAGTAAGCAGAGTGGATATGATAAACAGGAACCTGCGGGTCACATCTTTAGCCCCAAGCCCTGCAAAGGCAACAGCATATCGCAAAGAAGTTTTGCAGGCAGCAGCTGCAGACTCTACTTTCTGTTCTCCATCAACAATTGCATTAACAGCATCAATGTGAACCCACTTTCCCGTCAAATTCTCTGCACTGCAGTAGACTTCTGCCCAATACAGAGGAGCCCCTACTTTTCTCGATCCAACTGCAGTAGAGATCCCCTGGGAGGAAGATGATTCTTCACATTTGATTCTTTTTGTTCTTCTAAAAGGAGAAGATAGATTTACTGAGTTGCCATGCATGTCATTCACATCTGAACTCATATTGCTCTCAGGAATCCCAACCGCTGTGGCAGAAAGAGCCATTTCCAACTGTATCTCAAACTCACGATCACCTTTCCTCTTTGATCCTTCAGATTTCTTAACAGGGGGTGCATCAGAGATATCATCACATGCTTCACAACCTAATGAATCCAGACCATTCAACTGATCAGCCATGGGAAAAACTTTGGATAGAAAGGTGTTGGTAGTTGACTTGCTATCTCTAGTTCTGCATGCAACCCTTGAAGAAGTTTCACAGACATCCATGTCAATTGATGATGATTGTTTAACAGGAAATGCAGAAACCTGATTTGCTCTAGTCACCATCGGTGTCGAAGAGTTAAATATCCCCCCGCCTGCTCTGGTTGCATCATGACTAATGGATTCAGATTTGTCAGCATCAGGTTTCAAAGAGGCCACATCCAAAATGGATACAAACCTGAAAATAGATAGATGCTATAAAATATGTACTTTTAAGAGATGAGTCAGATGACACTTCCTAAAATCATAAATTCAGACTTCACAAGGAATAACTAAATATGTAAAGCAATTATAACAGGTCCTTTCTCAATCACAATACATCAATGTAGAAAAGTAAGCACTGAAAATTAAGAAGTGTAAATGAAATCATTTTGAGCTAATAAGGGACCTCTAAGTTCAGAGAATCCCCATGACATCCTACGAAATCATCAAAGATGGTTACAAAATCAGTAGGCAATTCTTTGCTGGCACTGCCAAACATGCATCTGTGCACGCTTAACTGCTAAAAAAGGACCTATGATTGTAGATCTCTGCAATCTCAATTCAACCTTAATAAATATTTTGAAGCATTCAGAGCTCAAGCATCAATGATCCAATTACCATTGACTGCTGGACACAGATTCAGAAGTTTATTTCAAAAATCTGAAGTGAAAGAAATGTAATTCCTCAGACTTAGATTTGAACACTATCACTTCAATAAATGAGTAGGTCAGATCACCTTCCGTATCCTCAAAACTCTCTTTTTTTTTTTTTGAACATTATATGAGAAGTAAGTGTATCTGTATATATATATGTATCTCTTTTTCATTCACCTCATCCTCTAGACCTGGAACAGTCTCTTCATCTGCTTCTTTGGATGCATATGTTGATGTTTATGCCACTGTGGTTGATTCTACGAATTTGGACGGGGTGCTGATCCAGCTTGGAAAACAGCTCCTACTAAATCTGATGGTTAACTAGAAGCGACGATGTATGAGTATCAGACAGGTTTTTGGACTATCCTGTCCATATGGCCTCTTTGGAAAACATAGCCAGGGCCCAGGACAACTCTAGAAACTCAAACCAGTGGAGCCTAAAATTGGTTTTGGTCATTGGACACATGTACTTCAGCTTTTTACAAGGGTGCAAGAAAAGGTTATAGGGTTTCTAGATAAAAAAAGGGTTTGGATAAGGTTGGGATTCAAAGTAACTGGCAGTTGGAATTTCATAAGCCTGATTGCCGGAAATTCAGGAGAGCAACAATTTTGGTTTTCAGTCGTTACTTGTAATTTGTATGTTAAAATGTAAGGGTTGGGATGATTAGGCTTTTCTGACCTAAGTTTTGAAGATGAAAAAGGGGTTCTTCCAGGACCGAGGACAGTTACTAAATAGAAAGGAAGAAAAGGAAAAGAATCTAGGAAATTCATCACAATACCTCAAGAATAATCCCCCAAGGTAAGGTTGTATCATGCATAATTCATAACTGCAAGAACTTCTCTCCATGAAATTCCCAGTGTGTCCCTTTTCTTGTTAGGGTGTTTTTCATTATCCACCCACATTTGAAAAAATCTTAACATCAAGTTTTACTGTTGAAGCGTGAAAAACCACGAACTATGCATCTCTGAAGGAAAGAAATTCCAAAGTTGATTTGAGATAAATTTCCCCTTTGGGAGTTATAACGATTATACTAAAGAGTCCTTCTGGATAATTAAGGCTTTGTAGGCTACAGTTTTGAGAATATCAAATAGGGTTTGTCCCAGGACTCTGAACATGAACTCATAAATAGTAATTAAAGAGAAAAAGAAAAGAAGAAAAAGACAAGAAGAAGAAAAATCTAAAGCCTCACCTATATCTCCTTAGAAATCACCCCTACATCCTATTTTTAAAGCTTATTTCATCCTAATTTTACTTGGTTTACGACCCTAAAATAGGAAACTCAGAAGCTTTTTGACTACTATGAACATCCTAGAACAAACAATCACAATGCAATATTGTAACTTTACCAAAAATAGCATCCATGGACAATGACATGACAAAAGTCTAAAGGCCATGTCAAGCAAATCTAGACATTAGCAAAATACCCTACTCTTAAACAGAAGAAATCATAAATGAAACTATATGAAACACAACTCCAAATGAACATTAAATAAGACTTGACTAAACCCAAAACTTAAACAGGAAAGGTTCCAATCGCACTCCATATAAAATTCCCAGTTTGGCCCTTTTCTTGTTAAGATGCTTTACATCACTCGTGCCTTGAGGTGCACCTGAAGCATAAATTTAAGCATCAAGGGATATGGCGTATTTGAAGTGGAAGCCAAGTTTTTAAAATTCATCTTAAATATTCAAAAAATTTGCCTAGTCCAGAAAATGAGAACAAAGTTATCAATCATAGTTGTCAATCATAATTGATGGAAGAAAATTCATATTCTTCTTCTAGAATTTAATCTGAGAGGATGGTTTATTGGGTTTGAAGTTTTAGGACTCTTTAAGGCTCTCAAAGATTGTCTAGAAACTTGGAGCCGCTGATTCACAAACCAACTACTCCACAAATCCTCTTTTTGTCATGCGCAGTAGAATCATTTGTATATGATTTTTTAACATATATCTCTTCGATAGGTAAAATATATTCCATTAAGAATGCCAAGAAGGATACACATATTTTAGAAATGTATAGCAAGCACTACAGTATTTTAACAAATTCTACTAATATCTTCATCATCATATTTATGCTAGACAGAAACACACATTGAACATGTCAACCTGTCACAGAAAGACGACTACGTGAACCTAGCAACTGTGGAAGTGATTCGTGGAGCAAACACTTTAGAAAATTCTACAAGCAGAAGACAAGACTGAAGCATAGATTGGCTTCATATAGCAGTAAATATTTTCAGATGGAAAAAGAAAAAAATTATGACCTCTGCAGACAGGTTTCACTGCCTTACCATCAATATGTGCAATTTAACTTCCTTAAACACCCTAGTAAATTTTCTAACTCAAATCACATCAAAGCCTTTTTTGTTTCATGGAGCAAACAGCGTTTTCACATTGGAAGTAAGTGATGCTAACATGCTATATCCGCATGAGCTTTATGTAAAAAGAAGTATGAAGAAGCATGCCTCATGCTGCAATCGCAGTGCTTACAGTTTAGGACAAGATGTTCATGCAGAAAATAAGGAAATAAATAAAGAGGACAGAAAGAGAGAAAACAAAACCTAATATTTAAAATAACAAAAGCAACGAAAGGAAACAATAAAAAAAAAAAAAAAAAAAAAAAAAAAAAAAAAAAAAAGTGCTGATTGTTAAAAGAAAAAAAAAATTGAAAATACCATTCTCAGTTTTGTTATAACACCGTACCGGGTTGTAAGATTCAGAGCTCTGAATAGTGCAACAGATAATGCAGCCACCTGCACCCCAAAATAAAAATAAAAAAAGAAAAGAAAAAAGAATGTAAGTTTTCCTCGGAATCCAAAACATCATGTACATTACAACAGACTAAATCGCTTTGTGCAGCAAGCAGCAACTAGGCTCTTTTCCAAAAAGGCAAATACATAATCAGATAACCACAGGAAGGAAAGCTGTTCGCAAGCGTTGCGAAAAGAATGAATGATTTTGCACAATTTCTACAAGTAGGGAGACATTAAGGAAAATATTGTCTCTACAAGTTGAGGAACACTTAAAAACAAATGGTAGAGCAGACATAACAAGCTAAAAGCCCAACCAAAAAAAAAAAATGGTAGAGCTGACATAACAAGCTGAAAGTCCAACACCACCCAGATGGCTTAAATATATTTAAATCCAAGTTCATCGTCCCATTATACATGGTCTGGAGAAAATGTGAATAAGTTCATGGCTTGGTACCCATTGAATGGAGCTGGGGATCACAGTCAGCCTCTTTACCGCACTTTCTTATTGTTTAAATACTTATCTAAAGGAAAGTGGTACTTCTTTTACAGCTTGTTGATCAGGTTTAAAAAAATCCATTTTACTGGTTCCTTATAGAATATACTTCTTCCTCTTGGGCCTGAAGTAATCATATACTGTGAATTTTCCCTTCAAATTCTTATTTTCATTTACACATTAAAGGGGTAGCAGTCCGAAATAAATTGTTCATGCAATTGCAATCCCCAGTTGATTTATAGTTTACATCCCTTACAATTTATATGCATCCTTCAATGTTTAATTAACTTTCTACAGCAAGGAAAGGCAAAAAATAAATTACATTTAATTAATTGTACCTCCTCTGGAGTCCCTTCACGAGTCTCAAGAGCAAATGCCAGGGCTGAATGAAATGATCTCTCTGTACTGCTTGGAGTTCTAATACGAAAGTTATTATGAAACTGCACGTGATGCAAAAAAGCACAACAAATAATAAGTAGAGAAAAACAGTAAAAGACGGGTCTCTACATGGAAAACAGAAAATAGCAAAAGAAGAAGAGAAAAGGTAAAATTTATAACAAAATAGAACAAAAGAATAAAAAATATTAACAAAAACACCATACCCAATTGACAAGCGGAGCCAAAGCATTTGCAGTCAGTTTTGTGACATCTGATATTTTCAGCAGGTGTGTTGGTAGAAGTGAAAGTAAGGAAGCCTGCCATGACAATTAAATTTTATAAGGATTATCAAACTATGCTTGTCTTCTTCTATTTAAATAAGTGGAAAGAATAACGAACAACAAAAAATGAACCAGTAATTCTCTCATCAATTGAAGATAACATTTTGAAACTGTACGATGTGCATTCACACAAGATAGAATCACAAGACACTAAATTAAATATCGAGAACAGGCACCAAAATTACATCCAGAATTAGTTGGGGCAGAAACAGAATACTACAACGAAGATCCCCCTCAAGTTGTGATAAAAAGAAGGAAGAAGAAAAAGAAAAAGAAAACAAGAAGTATGCTAACTCATATCTTTACTTATCACACTCGCTAAACGAATGGATTATGGTTATGGTTATCTTGGCCAGTGGCCACCCATTCTTGGCCAATCTCATTCCTTAAGAGCATTTGAAATCTATAGGCCAAGGGATATTTTATAGAAAGCACCCAAATATACATTAGAGGAATGCAACTTCATAGACTGGAACTTAAAACTACCATATGATACAATTCATAAATAGCTACTCCTTAAAGTTTTAGAAGACCCTGTGTTTAGACATCCATCAACACATGCAAGCAAGCTCACATCCGCAAGTGAATAAATAAACAAATAAATAATCCAATTGATGCAAAGAGGATTTATGGAATTAGAGAAATATTCCAGTTGAAATTCGTAAAATCATAACTTGGTCACTTCCTTTAGAATTCCCAAGGAGACGGAGTGATCCAACTGTCTTTTGCCATCTCACATAGCATATGAAGTTACAAATCCCAATCTCATAATTGGGGGACACCAAGTGAAATGGGAGCCATCACTATAGTACTCATAACATCAATTTTTGGGGTTCCACAAAATGATTGTGTTTCAAAAGTTTTTAGTCACTTAAAATAGTTTTATTGCAATGACCCCATCAAGATGACAGAATTGCGAAGAGAATTATATAAATCGCAAAAACAGAAACACAGAAATTCGATCTCCATGGGACATCCAAGCATCCTAAATGATTAAATTATTTAATCCCCCCTTTCAGTATTAATCCTAATAAGAAACCCTACAAACCCTAGTTTTCCTGTCACAGATTAAATACACCCTGCATAGATGAAATACCTAAAAACTTTACCAGATCATGTTGTCCATAAGCTTTTCCCCCTTCACTAACTCGTCAATTAGGACTTGAAAGTCCATCAATTTACCAGAAAACATAAGGATTTAACTAGACTTAACTGGTAAGTGAATAGAAAAAGAGACATCAGCGACGGCAACCAAAATCTAATTCTAGGAGACTACAATTGCAACTCTAAATTTTTTTAGTTTGCAGGGGAATCGCCGGTGTCCAACACTATGTAATTATGGGAATGTCCTAAGCAGTTACTGTGATCAGATAAAAATGACACATGACAACAGAATATGGAATGAAAACACAGACAAATTTGTAGAGTGAGAACTCAGGTACATATAGAGTGATACAAGCAATAACCTGAATGAGAGGATCATTACAAGCACTATCAATTAACCTCCCCCGTCCTAGTAAACAAAGCAAGTGAACCTTGTGCACAAGCTCGGCCAACTCCTGCAGGAATAATTAGTAATCATTGGGCTCATTCAAGTAAAGAGGCAAAAATTACAATCAAACGGATACCAACTCAAATGCAATTTTTAGCTTCAAAATAAAATTAACCTTGTCTTCAGCAGAAGCTCGACGGATAGGCTTCCGCTTAGCAGAATCTGGTGACCTGTCAAATTCAATTGTCATTCCCCTAAATGTATCATTTTGATGATTGTTTGTAGAATGCAAAATAGGAATAGATCCATCTTCCCAGTCCAACTCGTCTATTTCTTCTTTTCCACCAGTAGCAGTTTCCTGAAAACTTTCCCCCTCGACCATATTTTCCAATGGAGTGTTTCGTATTGCATCTCTACTACAACCTTCAGCCTCTTTTTTATTTTGTGTAACCCTTGTATCTAAACTTTCTTTGTCATTCCCCTCTGACCTACTTTCTAGCTGAAGAATTAAACAAATGAATTAAGAAAAAAAACCAAAGGCTGTGAAATATATCAATATATTTGGAAAATTAGAAATCATTTATAAATAGCATTAAGAAACACTGACTTCAATTATTATGTAAATTTACTTGATAATTTAATAAATTTGAACAAATATTTTTTTGGCAATCATTGTATAAACACTACCGTGCATATCCTTGCTACAATTGGATGATAAAAGAAGGAAGTTCATAAAACTAACCTTGCCTCCAGAATCACATTTACGGAGAGAATTATCTCGCTTCTTGAACCCTGATGAACCCCGTGAATTTGCTCTTTTCAAAAGTTTGCCTACAGCCTCTTGCGACACCGCGGTAAGGGTGCCTGAAACCAGCATTAATTTAACACAACGATTGGTGATGCTTTATGTATTTATTTTAAACATTTTCATTTGATTTCTTAACATGCATTGAACTTAAACTAATATAAACACGGGTTAAAAAACAAACCGCCATCTGACTCTAGACAGCTTCGGTTTTCTGAAGGTTTCATCACTTCTTGGTTGCCTGCCAAAATCATAGAATGCATTAACAGCCCTTATCCATAAGATCGAAAATAATACAACAATTTGTTTGCGGCAAGTAGACCACTAAAGTTCAATTGAATGAAGTTACAGGCTTTCACTTTTTCTCAATATATCATAAAATTCAGTACATTGAGCCAATCTTGGAGAGTATAAGTTCATTACTCCAACTGTACTCACATCACCAAATGCATTAACCCATCTTGGTGAGAATAAGTTCACTACTCCAATGGTACTCTCATCAGCAAATAAAATAAATAAATAAACAAATAAGCAAAGAACTTTGCAGTGTGTGTCCGCAAATTTGTTTACAATAAAAGATAGTCATTGACCATATCCCATTAACATTTTCTAGTAATTGGCTCTGATTGGTGACTGAAAAAAAAAAAAAATGAAAAACAAACAATTGAAAGTTGGGAGTCTTGGACGCAACATTTATATCAAATTTCAATTTGTCGGAAACCTAAACAACAGAGAGCAAGTCGTCAAACTCTGATTGATTGTTTATACCTGCAAGCATTCTCAGCAACCAAACGAAAAAAAAAAATTAGGGTTTTGCAATATAGTATTGAGTCGATAACAATGAGCGAACACCTATTATGCAATAAATCAAAATTTTCCCAAAGATGAATAGAGAAACAGCTCGAGAAATGACACAGAACAATGCTAACATGTATTTATATATAGAGAGAGAGAGAGGCGCGCTTGAAGAAGGTACCGGTTGATTGCTTCTGTTGCTTGGATTGGTTCCTGGTTCGCATTTCTTTGATCGACCGTAGATATATATGTGTGTGTGTGTGTGTAGAGAGAGAGAGGGAGAGAGGCGCGCTCTTTACAGTTTGGGGCTTGGCGGTTAGTGCTCTCCGCAAAGATGCCATAAGTTTGAGCGGTGACGGAGTGAAGAACGCTGCGTTTTGAAGTGCGGATAAAGTGACGTCGTAGACGAGAGGGCGTCAAAGGATTACAGCATGCGAAAATAAATAAAAATAAAAATAAAAAATAGTACAAAACATCTCTTTTATAAGCTACGAAGCAGTGACACTCTCTCGGCATTTCATACCAGTGTCGGATACGTATTCAATGCGAATACGTGTGTCTGACACTTTTGTGACACTTCTGTGAAGTGTCAGAATTATTTTTTATTGAACACGGAATGAACACGGATGAGACACACGGAAGACACGTACTGGACACCGGGCATATTTTGTAATTTTTTTTTTTTATAGAAAAAATGGATACCTAATGTAATTTTAAATGTTTAAAAGTAAATTTTTGAAAAATTTAAAAAACAACTACATAGACAATGAACTGATAAATGAAAAATGTTAAACATGTTGAAAATGTACTTGATCTTATTTGTCTAATTTTGTTAATAACTTTACTAGGTTCTTAATTGCTTAGATGATGAATTGAAATATTTCTTTTATTGTAATATTTTTTTGGGGAGATTAGTTTATGGTATTTTGTGTGTGTGCGTGTATTTATTGGCATATCCCTATTCCCTATCGTGCATGTCCGTATCCTATTTTTTTGAAATTTATCGTGTCGCCGTATCCGTGTCATATTGTACCTTATCCTATTTTTTTGAAATTTATCGTGTCGCCGTATCCGTGTCATATTGTACCTGTGTCCCGTGTCTGTATCCGTATCCGTGCTTCATAGTTTATAAGTGTCTAAAACTTTGCAAAATTATTTCATGGTCCCTGACTATTGATCCAAATCAATTATTAGTCCACCTAGCAAACAAAATGCTTAATAAAGTTGACACAAACAATCCACCCCCCTTGGAGGCCTGACGTCCCAGTCGATACACTTCCGGCTGGGTCAGGCTCTGATACCATTTGTAACGACCCACTCCACCACATGGTATGATATTGTCTACTTTGGGCCTGAGCACGCACGGTTTTGCTCTTGAGCTTCACCCCAAAAGGCCTCATACCAATTGAAGATGACACACTTACATATAAACACTTCACCTTTCCTCTACCCAGGCGATGTGGGACTGTGCACCTGTAGCTTGCCAGTGTGGGAGCTTGACAGTGTCTCTCGCACCCTCCCACGGCACACCCGCCCACAAGGTTCTCACACCCACCCACAGGGTCATCACAATTTTGTTCACGCTCTGTTTATTCTCGTGAGCTTGACATTATAGACTTTGTTCACACTGTCTCCATTTTTGACTCGGGGTTATTAGGACCTATCTCACGCTATACAAATATTGTCCACTTTATACTCTTTTGAAACATCACCTTTATAAATGCCCGACAAATTCTTCCTAAGCGAAGTTATGGGACATCTAAGAAATGTGCTAGTTTTATAATTAGCTTTTGATCTTTTGTAAAATCTTGTAAATATTTTGTATTATTGACTTCAAAACTTTTCGAAATTATAAATATTATAAACATTTTTCTTTTTGAGTTTCGTCAAACGTATAATGCATTTAAGGTGTCAATTCTTTAATTCAACAAGCTTTTGCAGGCTAATTTTTCCCCAATTCTAATTTTATAACACCAATTTCATATAACCGAACATAACATTAGTATTTTATTTTAAAAATTCTAATTTAAAGACACCAGTTTCATACAACTGAAAATAACATTAGTGTTTTGTAAATTTTAATTACATGTAAACGAAGTACATCATTTCAACTTGGGTTTCACTTTCAGTGAGACTTGAAGCAGATACATAAAGAGATTACTCTTGAAAGCCATGTACTAATGCATTTTAAGGTGTCAATTCTTTGATTCAAGAAGCTTTGGTAGGCTAATTTTTCTCCAATTATAATTTTAAGACATGGATTTCATGCAACCAAACATAACATTAGTATTTTGTTTTAAAAAATTTTAATTTTAAGACACCAATTTCATACAACTAAAAATAACATTAGTGTATTGTAAATTTTGAATGCACACAAAACAAGTACATCATTTCAACTTGGGTTTCACTTTGAGTGAGACTTGAATCAGATACTTAAAGAGATTACTCTCGAAAGCCTATACTAATGCATTTTTCAGGAAAATTTCTATATATGCATGGACATATTTGCATATACAATGTTTTAATACAAGTGAAATGTTTCAACAAGATAATAAAGATTGAAAATATTTATTCACCTTATAAATTGAGCCCCTCACAATATTATTTGTTACAAATTGAAAGAGGAGCACAGAAAATGAGTATGACTCTATGACAATAGAAAGCTAGCTAGGAACAATGTATAATAATCATGGAAGAATTTTTGGTCTAAGAAACTTCTTCTTTTTTTTTTTTTTTTTTTTTTTTTTTTTTTTTTTTGCTCTAAAGGAAAAAGAAAAATGAAATAATCATGCCGAGAATCGTATATCTTTTCAGCAATAATTCCCCTGAATCATTCCTCTTGACCAGCTTCTCGACACCATCACCGGATTTCGTTTGAAGGCTCAGTCGCCATGATCATAGCATGAGGAATGTTCAAACCAACAGCTCTTTCCATTGCATCCTTGTGTTCTTTTTCAATTGTTTGCCTCTCAAGTTTCTGTACTTTTGGGGCAGTTGTTATGGTTTTAGAGCTCCTCTCCCTTGTTCTCTGTGAGAAATGAAGTTTTTAATAGTGATAACAAATTTTTAACAGCAACATTCAGAAGAAACATGCCTTAGCCAAAACTAGAACGAATATTATGAATGTATGTGCATTTGCATGAACTTTCGGGAATATATATATATATATATGTTTCCCACTCACTTGAAGAGCCTTCTCTGCTTCTCTTTCAATCCAAAAAATTGCATGATCTGATGTAGCATTGCATGATAAGACAATGTGTTCGAATCTTCCATCGACCGGAATGGCAGTTCTAACCTCCGGGGGAAACCTCCCACATCTGTGTGTACCAAACAATAACGATTCAATTTAATTAAGACAAAGCACAATTAATTTTGCTATTAAATACAATCGAATAATAATTGATGATTCTCGAAAAAAAGATAATCGTAAAAAATGTTCCTTAAGAGCTAGCTACTCAACAATTAATACTAAGTAAAGGAAAGCTATATTTGAGACATGTAACTATCCTTCTGCACATAAGGAAATGGATACTCTAGAAGTACTAACTATACAGTACGTACTTCCCGACTAATTGATACTCACTATTTCTCTTGATAATAGGAAATATTTACTCACTTGTGGTATTACACTGCGAGTACTCCGGGATACTCAATATTTTCTCGACTAGACATTAGATAAAAATGGAGCACGTCTTACCTACAAAATTTTCTTTCTACAATATGGTACATTCGTCCGGGTGCATATAGTCGCCTTGTATCTCTGAGCTTCCTACCTTCAGAAATGAAGGTATCCCTCAAGCAAACCAAAAACAAAAAGCAAGGCAAGCTGTCCAAAGGATTAAGGTCTTGCTTATGAAATAATTTAAACATTTCTCTCTTTTACAAGGAAAACAAAAAATGGATTCTAGCTATGTTCGGTAGCATGGAATTGGTGCCTCGATTCCAATTCTGAAATACCAATTTCATGCTATCGAATATAGCATCAAAGGTTTTATACAGTGTTTGAGATATTAAGAAAAACTGAAAAAGAAAGAAAGAAAAGAGGTAAAAGAAAACTAACCAGAAGATTGATTTAAAAATGTCTTCCAATGGAGTGGATGTCCTTGGTAAGAAATCATCCTGGATGAAGTGAAGTTGTCATTAATTTTCAGCTTACTAAGTACTTCAGTTAATTTTTATGGATGGTGACATGCAGTTTTTCAGAAAACTAAAATGGAAAATGAACTGAGGCTTCATGGCTTTTCTGAAAATAAGTGGAGGGTATTCACTATCTAATGTGTAATTCTATATATTGTGGAATTAATGATATAATTAATTTTGATTTTGTTGTCAATGTCAAAAGTTAATCATGTCCGTCCAAAAGAATTCGAATCCTCTTAATTATATGTTGTTTCATTATGTGCCGAATTTATGCAGCAAATTACATTGGTCATGCAATAATTTTATACTCCTTCCGTCCCAAAATAGTTGGGTACTTTGTGAACTGTAAATAGTTAAGTACTTTGGAAACTTTGACTCACAGTTCTCAAAGTACCCAACTATTTTGGGACAGAGGGAGTATTGTTTTTGCAACAATTACATTACATTGTTATTTTATATATAATATTGCACTTGGTCATAAGACTGCACAGAGTATTAACTTTCTATGGCATATAGTCTAACAACCTCATTTTTTTTGACAGAGAATTGAGTTCCGAAAGTAGGTCATCACCATCGAGGATATACTCCATTCTAATCTAATCGTTAATGCAGACTAAAGAACAAATCGACACGTTCTCATTTACACATACTCACCCCTGTAGGACTAAATATTATTTTTTAATTTTATGATTAAAGTGAATGTATCTACTAGTTATTGGTTCAAATCAACTGCGTAAATTACCTCTCTAGAGGTTTGTCAATATTCCACATAGACCCTCTACGTTTTATAATCCCACTTACCTCATTGTCAATGACCATTTATCATTTTGCCTATTAAATGTTTGTTGTCATGTCCTTCATTAGAAGGGAAAAATGGTTAGACAGGGAAAATTTGTTACATATATTAAAACTTTAGGGGAGGTAAGTAAAATTATGAAACATAGAGGGGTCTATATGATATATTGACAAACCCAAGGGTGGTAAGTGAAATTTACCCTAATAATAATCACAGTGACACAAAATTTCTCACCTGCAAGATCACTGAGTGTATGATATCTGCGTACTTCACTGCCAGACTGAGTGACATACACCTCGCCGGAGCTACTGCGTAACACCGCAGCTGACTCCTCGGAACCCCGCCAACCCGGTCCCCATCGTTCGCCACCATCAGCGTCAACAAAGCAGCCACGCCAGAACCCAAAGAATGTCCCGCAAACACCATCTTATACTCCGAGCCATTTTCGACCCACAACCGTTTCAGACTCTCTGATTCCTCATTCAATACCCAAATCGCCGAACGCAACAGACCATGATGAACATACCCACCATCAAACATCTGCATACCCAATCGATTGTCCAACAATAGCTTGTAGTCGCTCTCTCTCGCCAGGTTGAGGCCGCGTAATGCAAGCGTGATCTCGCGGTGGTCGTGGTCGACGTAGATTAGGTACGGCGGCGCGTGGCCCTGGGTTTGCTCGTAGCTCACGCGCTTGATGAACCAGTTGGGGTTTAGGCGGGAATGAGGGTGGTGGAGGTTTTCGTCCTTGTAGACGGCGAGGATGAGGCGGCAGATGCGCGGGACGGGGTCGAATTCGTCGGCGGTGGCGGCAGGCCAGGTGGCGCTGTCGTCGGAGCCGACGTGGGTGCAGCGCTTCCACGCCCACCACATGCAGGCCAGTTCCACCACGCTGTCGGCCACCATGCTCGCTACTGACATGTTGCCGCAATGCCACCAGCTTGTGTTGTTGATTTAAGAGAGAGAAATTTTTAGAGAGAGAGAGAGAGAGAGAGAGAACGGTGGGTTCTGGTGGACATGGAGTTTGATATTAATATAGAGGCGCCTTTATTTTATTATTATTATTATTATTATCTTTTTTTCGCACAGTTTTGATCCTGGTTTCTATGGTTTTGATTTAATTATTTTCCGCGTGTTTGAATTGACTTTTTGTGAAAATATATTGAACATTAAAATGTAAGACAGTACAGTACGGCAATTCTATCCCTAATTAATATTTATCTTGTTTGAAATTGTTGATTAAACAAAAATAAACCGATGATGATGTTAATAATTTCAATTTCTGCCTCCACCAATATTTCTCTCATCTAGAAGTTCTTACATGGAAAAGTATCTAAATTTGAAGTCAAATTAAAATAATAAAATAAATAAATAAATAAAACAAAAACAATAGAAACCAGTTTAATTAATATTTCAAAAGCTGTTGCTATACAAATTGAACTTGTGTAACTGAAAATAAATGGTTTTTTTATACCATTAATGGTTGTACTTAGTGATGTCAAAATGATCGAGGTGAGGGTTCAAGCATGAAAAAACTTAAATATTTAGTTGATATGATAATGGGCACTAATTAAATACGACACACCATAATAAAACTTAATTACTAAAATATAATTCTTATGTGTTAATTTATAAATAGTGTATGATAACACTCCATCATTACATTTAGTAAACTTGGAGTATTTAAGTTTTTTTCATTCGGTAAGAAATAAGAACATATGAGTGTATAATTATTTTAGTATTTTTTTCTCTTTTAAATCTTTGAAGATCGAGTTAGAAAACTAACAAAATATTTGTAAGAGGGGATTTAGAAGTACTGCTAGTTTGTGAAGAAAAATATGTATTATTTTGCGAGTGATGAGGCTTATCAAACTCCACAATCATCTTTTGAATTCTCTCACTGTCCATTTTGTACATCTTTCGCACTTGTACAATTTATCCCTTAAAATTTCTCAAGTATGATTAGGATATACAAAAAAAAATCACTGGAAACGGTAAGAATTGTTTTGAATGATCATTTTAGTTTGTTTCTTTTACGATTGGGTTCGGGTTCCAAAATAAGGAATCGTGGACGGTTCCAATTCCAGATCTATTAAAATCGAACTGAATATATATATATATATATATATATATATATATATATATATATATAATCATATAACATACGTCACAAAAATAAAACTACACACAAGTAAATAACAATATATTACAGGGGCGGAGCCAATTAAAGCCCAGAGGGGCACGTGCCTCTCCTCACTTTGTTCCAACCTACTATACATAGGTATATATTTTTGGTATATACATATACTTTTATAGTAATTTTAAATTGTGCCCCCCTCAAATTCTTCTAATTTTCTTGAGTTATATGTATCCCTTCTTCAAGTATACAATATATTTTTCCTTTTCTAATTTTTGTTTCATTTTTCAAAAAATTTCTTTTTATACTTATGTATAATTGTGTATTTTTTTTATTTTTTTAACTTATTTCTTTTTATCGATGACATTTGTGATTTTATTTAATTAAAATATTATTAATTAATATTTTGTAACTATATTTTTTTTAACAGTATTTATTTAGTATATTATTTTACAACTTTTTTTTTCTTATTTGCCTTTTTGATTTAAAAAAATTATACTTCCTATTTGTCATATTTATTATTATTATTATTTTTTCAACAATTACGTTGTGCCCCCTCTAAACTAAAATCCTGGCTCCGCCCCTGATTATGTAAACTACATATAAAGATTAGGCTACTGTCAAATAGGTTTTTAGTTCTAAACTTTATATTTGTTTCACAAAAACAATATAATAACTCATTTGGCTTTAGATTGCGAATATATTTTATTTATTGGTTAAGAGGTTTATTATTCTCCATTTGTTATTTAAATTCATATTTGCTTTGATAACTTAAATCCATATAGTAAGGGCCTGTTCGGAAGGCCAAAACGATATTGGTTTCGGTGTTTTGGTTTTGATTTTGGCCCCATATCTCGTTTGGTGTGGGCTGATGTGGTATTGAATAGTGTCAAAACAATACCAGATTTGAGCCAAAACCCATATCAAGAATTTGGTGATATTGGCTGATTTTGCACTATAGCGGTGATATCAGATTGAGCCAAACACTGTAGCGGTGATATGAGGTATAAAATCAAATTTTTCTCTAATTAGGTCATTTATGCCTCTCGTTTCTCTTTCTTCTCCCGCATGTATAAGAGTCGATTTGGGGCGATTCATGTCTACCTTTGATATACAAAGGTTGCGCTTGCAGAAATTCGAGAGCTTGTAGATCCAACATAAAACCAGTCGCTGCCGTACCTCTCCGAATCGGCTTTTTAAATTAGGGTTTTGAATTTGGAAGGGGAGAAGGAGTATGAATCAATCCGGTCTGTTTGTATATATATTTACGGAGTAGAAATTAAGTTTGTTTCAACTCTATTATGACATTAGCTTTTCAATTTTAGGGTTTCATGGCTCATAAGCACAGTTTTCACTCGGATGCTTTTGAGAGATCAGATGAAAATTCAAAACGATAAAGACAATCAAATGATGCTTTTGTTTTGCGAGAAGGGAATTCGAAAGAGGAGGATTACAGTAGCGTGGAGAATCAAAAAGTGAGTGGGATGCATTGAAGAAGAACATTTATTGCTTAATGAAGAGGCTATACTCGAAGGATTTAAGGAGGACAACAAATGAGCTATTTGCTGAGAATCTGATCTAAGGAAGGGGTTTTTTTGTCAGTGCTTGATGGAATACCAGATGGCGTCTCCGCTTCACACTGATCTGTTTGCTGCGTTGGTAGCCACTGTCAATTCCAAGTTTCCGGATGTGGGTCATCTTCTATGCAGAAGGATTCTTCTGCAGATAAAGACAGTATGAACGGAATGACAAGGTAGGTGTTGTGCAAATATACATATATTTTTCTTTGTACTACCTTGTTGCTCTTTGATTAGTTCAACCTTTTGCTGATTTGGGTTTGCTTCTGATTGTTCAAATTATTTTTTGGGATTCTTAATTCTCTTATACACAGGTTTCTTTGATTATTTCAACCTTTTGCTGATTTGGGTTTGCTTCTGATGTTTCAAACTTCAAATTATTTTTTGGTATCAGTTTACTGCAGTGACACTTATCACTAGCTCTTAATTGTTAGCACATCTTGTGAACCGGTTCTTTGATTACTTCAATCTTTTACTGATTTGGGTTTGCTTTTGACTGTTCAAATTATTTTTGGCATTCCTTTATTGACAGCAACAATTTTCTATAGCTCTCAAGTTATTGGCACTTCTTGTGAACTAGAAAGTGGTTATGAGAAGTTGTTAATTTCATTTTAGGGTTATAGAATGCTTATAGACAGGCTTAATTGGTTAAAAAATAAGGGCAGCCTCTAAAAAATGACAAAATTCAGAATTAATTAGAAATTTTTTTTTCCCTAGTTGATACTCCACACCCCGTGGCTCCCCTTCTCTGTCTCAAGGAATTGTTTGCGCTCAAAAGGAGTCGAACATTAGAGAAATTTAAATTTTGAAAAGAAATTTATTTCGTTTTAGGGTTTTAGAATAAATTTTAAGAAGTTTTTGCTCTCGTCCTATATTTTCGGTTCATAAAATATGTTGCTCCCCATGTCTTTGAAGAGATATGAAGAGGGTCTGATTACGTTGCTTCGGTTATACATTAGAATGCTAACTTCATAAAATGCCTTGGTTATGCATGGTCAAGATTTTCTCAACTGGCATTTAGGTACGTTAAGAGATGCTTATTAATTGTTTTAAGCATGTACCTTGGTGCATCTTTTGTTAACCAATTGTATGGGTTTGTTTGATGATTTGAGTATAAAATTGCTTCAGTCAATTGTTTCTCATAAGCACTTTTTACAATTTTGTTGTTTCACTTTGCAGATTAACAACAATGGCATTTATTTATTGTGCTTCAGTGAAGAATGGATTGCTATAATTATTCTCATGCAGTTTCTGATATATAATAAGAAAGGATGACAGACACATAATGACGAGATAAATGGCAGTTTAATGTTCATTTTCATGTTTTGACTTCGGACTTTGCATGGACTCAATTGTTCATAGGCGGTGTCCCTTGTTGATTGAATGAATTTTATGGACGGTGTCCCTTGTTGAATTAATTTCGTGGGCGGTGTCCCTTATATTTATTGTGTTATGTTCAATTTTGTAAATTTTCATTTTTAAGGGGAAATTATGCCGGATTTAAAAAAAAAAAAAAAAAAAAAAAAAAACACTTTGATTCCAAAAAGAAATGTGGTTGATTTTTGAAACTTGAAATGGATTTTTGTTGTTTCAAGGCTTAGTAAAATGCAGCTTTTCTATGGGAAAACCTAACCCTGCTTTATATTTTGTTACTATAGGTAATGTCTTGCTTTGGAGTGCAAAATCATTTTTTTCATTTTTCTTAATGCTTTCTTATATCCTTTTTTGCAGAATCATAAACTATTGTCAACCCAGTACCATGTAATCCATATATGCTCTTGGAAGAACTGGCATTACATTGAAGGACATGGCAGTAAGTTGTGGGCAGTGGCACCAGTGGGATTTATAGGAAGCATTCTCCATTTTCTGCAACTCCAGGAAGCTAGTGATCTCTAAGTTAATCAAATGAAGGCCTATGCAAGTATAAAGAAGTGTTTGTACATTTTATGAAATGAATTTTAATAATCTCCAGTTGTGTGTACATTTTATGTAAGTATAATGAAGTGTGTGTACACACATACTATTTTTAAGGAATTTCTAGTTCCCTATATGTGCAAGTATATATGTGAATAGTGCAACAACAATTTATTAAGTTTGTGATGTACAAAAAAAAACTTGTGGTTTGATGTGTTATTTATGATTGATTAAAATCTTACAAAATATTTTCAAGTACTTGTTTGGATGGCAAAATTTTTTCTAGTAGGTTGTTTGGTTATCAAAATAAATACTCAAGAAAAGGAAAAATGGTCTCATGAGTTAACAATAAAAATATTAGCACTTTGAAGGATCTCCAGTAGAAAAATTCAAACTAATCTTAGTGAAGTAAACCCATTCACAAGCTTCAATGACCAACAAACTTCAACTCTGACCAATTCAAGAAGATCAACGTTTTGGCTTTGCTTCTTGTTAGTTTCAACTACAAGGACCTCTCTCTCTCTCATTCATAATGAATT